ATAATTAACATTTACAACGCCTTTAAACAGAAATATTTTGTGGGGAAAAAATACGGCGTTTTTCCAAAGTAATGGAAGGCAGTATACGAATTGTTTTAATTATGAAGGTGCATCATCTCCACGAGAAGCGTTTTTATTTTTCAGGGAGAGGGATTAGAGGTATTTTGTCACAAAATTTCAGTGTCCAGAATTCAGAAGGTAATTTAATGAGACAATGACAGTTCCGGTCCGGCTGAACACTCAAATAAATTAAAGAAAAACCTAAACCCCTTGCCCTGAATGGGTATGGATTTCAGAGGATCTCCCTGTAACCCTTTGAGTATTAGATCCAACCATTAAACTTTTTATTTAAATTGTTAAAGACTTTAACAATTTAAAGTACTTAAGTAACGTTCTTTAAAAGTAAGTAAAGTACTTTAACTTAAATTACCCTATAAATGCAACCTCCGAATCCTCTCAAAAGGAAGATGGGTCCATAGCCTCCAAGACTACTCATAAAAACTAGCATCAGAACTTTCACGAAGCAAAAAATTAGAAGTTCAACTTCACTGCAAAGTACAAATTATAGGAATCAGTCGACAACATGATACTTTAATGAAACGTGACATATAACTACTTTATAGATCATTAGAATACACACAAGTGTTAGGATCCAAGTTGAGTGCGTCCCTCGACTGAAGAGATTCAAACGCATGGGTAAGAAAGTAAGAGGTGTCAGAACATCTATAGCACGAACGAACGAAATCGCGTCGTGGGCTACATTTTCGTAATTAGATAGTGGACACTCATTTCTTTTTAAATAATTTGAATTTTTAGCATCACTTCATTACACAATTTGGAAACTCATACTGAATAATAGAGCATAGGAGTAATCAGATTTTCTCAGAGGAGAGCACTCTTCATCGCGAAAAAAATTAAAAAACTAGAATGGAGTCAAGGTACTTGTTCTTCGTGAACTTCCTCTACCTATGAGCCATAATTTATTATAATTTTCAGGGGAGAGACAATCCGAAGCCGTATTTTATGGCGTGATGGGATAGTATCCATATCGACGGTGCAAGTCGGCAATCACACAACTTGATTTGCGACATCGCAGACTTCCTGTCAAACTTTATTTTTGAAACGGAAAACTACTCAACGGCAATTCTTATAAACTGCCGCGATTTTTCTTATCCGTGCGAAGAAAATTCTGCAAAAACTTCAAGGAAGGATGTCAATTTGTTCTACTTTAAAAAAAATAACATCGATGCGGATATTTTCAGACACCGCGAACGAGATATGTGATTGCAGACTTACGCCCTCGATATCTATATTATCCGTAGACTCCAGACTCCAGAATACTGCAGCAATCAGACAACTTGTGTCTCTTCGACAAGATGAGTTAACGGATCCGCACCGGGATTTTCCGCCCTTATTGAAGACAATTGAATTTATGAGGCCAAATTACCGAGTTTTTCCGGGACTTTGGGCATTAGTATTTCCAGTTCTTAGAGTACCACGCGGATAAGACGTTGACACACCGAAAATAAAAATTTGGGTGTTCAGCTATGTTATTTCATTAATGAAGATAAGAATGGAAACGAATTTTGAAATTTTATCAACGGTGAACCTGCAAGAATGCGAACCTCATTTGCAATGTTTCAAAATATCCACTCCTAATTTATTCCATGAAAGGAGGATTTTGCAACTGCTTGAAATTTTCACTGAGTTCTCTTCGGACGGAGAAGACAAATTAGGAAAGTTTCCAAAAAATGTTGTAAAGCATTTTCCCATTAATTAAATGAGGTAAATCTGCAACGTCGCAAACCGAGGTACTACGCGTCCCTGCAGTTTTTCTGTCGTTATGCACGTGAAAGTGCAAGATGTAACTGTATGTAAAAGCGTTAATGTTACTTGAGTAACAGCGATGATGTTGGCTCTTTTAGCTAAATTCTAGGGTATAGTCTAGTTTCTAGGGATCCTCCTTGCGGAAACACTACCGACAACGAGTCATTTGCAATATTTTGGCAAGAATGAGGACAACGTATTCTTTAGTTCACTATGATTTACGACCCCAAACTATTATGCACGTGTCGCCAGCACTGCAAACAAACAACGCCGGCAACACAATAGGAATGAAAAGAGTGGACTCTTCTAAGGTAAAAAGAGTAGAACAAACGTCAAGTTGCCGAATTCCTCTCAAAATTAAGATTTTCTAAACACTAAAAAATACACATTAAAATGGTACACTCATTCTCAACAGTAACAGGTACTGAAATGCTTGTGAATCAAAAACGAAAGCAAATCTGACATACAATGTATATTGACCAACTGAAACATTTTGCTGACCGGTGTTGGTCAGTAATAGACAAACGTATTTTCTGACTGCTTTTATCCCTCATGATAAAAATTTCAATTTAAAATTACTTCACGTGCCTGACTAACTGACAAATCACATATGGACCACACTCCAATCGTGTCTTTTATTTAATCCTTGAAAAAAAATATCTTTTGTGACTTTTTCTCACTGTTTTAGGGCACGAAAATGTCTGTAATGAGTAGTTGAATGGAGAGAAATGAGCTTTTTCACGCCTCCTTTAAAATCACTCAGAATGACTAAGGTGAAAAAAAATTGTGTCGTGGTCCAAAGAATAATTGGATATTGCTTTTATAAAAATGAACATCGTGCACGGTGGTTTTGTATGACAACTACGCATCCTCACCGTGTGATAGAGGATCATTTTCTCGCTCTTAACATATAATTGCAGCTGACACAAGTCTGAAACATTCTCTATCTGATGATCGTATACATATTTGCCTTAAGTAATTAATGATGGGATTTGTCCTGAATCACTTCTGTGACTTTAATCTAGTCTCACATGGCTAATATTAATGCATTCCTGTTATTCATGATCCATTCGTCGCGTAAGCAAATGCCTACATTGTCAAATTGCAATCCACTCTGTAATTTTGTCAAAATCGGTTCATTTTGAGTGACCTCTTTTCTTCATAGCAGGGCTAACTTCAACGATATAAGAATTCTTGCAGGCTTATCATCAGTGACGAGACGTGAATGATCGATTATCGATATTTCCCCATTTAAAGCAATGGTGAAGAATCGATTACTAAGGTGTTCGTTGCGAATACCCTCTTTATCGATCCTTTTCTATAGGTTTAAATGGCAGATCAATTGATATATCACAAAGCACGCCACGCCACTGCTTATCACAGATTCTTCACTCATCGCTACAGCTTGATAACCTTGCCGATCTACTTGTCAGCTAACAGCTACTTGAACTGAGTCGCAATTTCGCCTGGACCCAAATCCCAGAGAGATCAATTTTTCCTTCGATTATTCAAATTTACAAGGGTTTGATCCGCCTTGTAGAAGTCAAAAATCTGTCAAACGGTGGTAACAGACTCAAAATAATTGTAAGTTGCTTTGTACAAGACAGTTTCAGCACAGACCAAACATTTTTCGTTGAAAAAATGTGTTGTAAGTTATTCGACAGATTTTCGAGATGAATGGCAACATTGAGACTAAGTGCAACGCTGTCAATTAGTTGAGAAGATCCTTACTTGTTTAAACTATCGGTGTGCACTAACAACCATTTGTCTTGAAATCTGGCGAGCCTGAAACATGAGTGATTACCAATACGGCAACGACTGCACCTGATAACGGTACATGCTACTCATCATCGGGCATTTTTGAGTTATTAGACACATTAAGTGGGAGTGACCGACTGAAAGTGAACCTGCTTGAGCCCGGATCTGAGCTCCTCCAAGTTCCTTGCGGCTACGTGACGTAATCCATCTATTACCCATCCCATGGCCAGTTAGGGGGGCAGCAGTGAATCTGGACGCTCTCCTTTTCAAAAACATCTGAATTTGCTGTAAAAAAGCAAACACTGAAAAAAAAATCTTAAGGTTGCCACCGATATGTATTTTTTCTTAAATCGAGAATTTTGCTACTTAATATAAACTACTTTTTTGCTTAACCCAAGCCTTTTCTTCCTTGTATTAAGAAAAATTCAGCTTAAGTCAAGATAAAAAAATTCTTGGCGGCAAATTCAAGGATCATCATGCTCGAGCTCAGCAAATTTTTCTTCGGTGAATGTTTCATTTTAAGAATCAATTGCCCACCGGTCAATGCTACCTGTTCGCAAAGTCAGCATTACGAAACATGTTTCAATAGTTTCAATATTTTGGTTTCCGAAATATGGAGACTTTTGAATTTTTCCCCGTGGATTTCAGATGGGAGAGGCCCGTGATAAATTCACTAAGGCTATTTTGAACTTAGCCTTTTGAATTGCCAAATTTCCTTTGATAAAACACGAATTTCCCCGTAAAGTTATGGTTATTTTCCTCCCAATTTTTCAAATAATTTCGTTCGCAATTTCACCTGAAGTTCCTAAAAATTTCAAGGAAAAATATTCATAGCTTCCCGCAAAAATAAGCATTTATTCAAAGGAACAGTGGGAACTCTCGAATGTTCATACGGCGTTCTTCCTTAGCACGATAGTGTATCAGTGACTATTTCATAAAATTATGATTATTTATCAACTTTACTTTGCAACGTCGTCGCTGCAGATTCCGATTGGCTCGATTCAACAATCAGTCAAAATTCGACATTTCCATGTCCATGGCGCTTAGCAGCCATAAGACTCGCTTTTTCCTTATCTGAGATTTTGACCCCCGTGACTGGAATTACGTGACTATTCGCTAATTCATGAACTGTCACCACTTCGATTACATTAGACTTGAAAATAAAGCAAACGGGTGTTGAACCGATTGCACTCGAAAACAATCGTGGATAAGATAGGAGGGGTAAGGTGCGAGCTGTTTCAAAGGTTACTCAACGCACCCCCGCCTCGAGCATCCCCTGCCGGCCCGAATTTTCCACCCCCTACCACGGCGCTCCTTCCTGCGCTGTGATTGGTCGGCGGCGCAAAGGTCAGGTCGCGCAGTCCAAACGCTACACGGCCGAGCCCTCGTATTCTCATTCTGCGATTGACCCTGGTCAGATATCACACGGTTGCGTCCTTTTAAGTTGGTTCTCTTCTTATCATCGTTTGTGCGTCCTTTAACCTCTTCGTCCAGTGACTTTTCGAAGAGTCCTTTCGGAGACTCGTTATCTGCGCGATAGTGTTCGTTTTCGTTTCGGACCTGCGTGCGCTATTTTTATGATCGTCTACGGTGGCAATTTTGTAGTTATTTTGTGGTGGTATATTGTACAGCCGAATTTTTCTCGATTAGTTGAACTTTCAGTTTCGAGTGCCATTCTTTCGCTGTAATAAGTGTTCTACAAGATCAAACTCCAAGCTCGGAGTAGTTGACTTTGCGTTGAAATAAACTATTTTTACAACTTATAATTCTCTAGTGCCTCTGTTCTCGAAAAATCTGTGCAGTTCTCACGGAAACTGCATAATCTGTAGTTAAATTGTTGTGTCTATCCCGCAAACATACGGATATCTATTTATATTTACTTGGATTATTGGAAGATTTACCTTGGATTACCTTTTTGCTGAATTGGATTACTTGCATCGGCAAAATGTTTTGTTTAGATGGTGAGTTTTTTTTTTTTAATAATTTGTCTCTACCGGTTTTTTGTAGGCGTTCTACCTAGACCCTCATATCCAGAATATCGCGCGATATAATGAATCTCAGTTTTTTTCGCAATTACTTCTTCTTGTTGCAACACTTGCCATGGTAAATGTAATATAGTAGTAGGATGTAATGCCAATGCGATTAGGGACTTGCGTTCATTTTCTCAAACTTGAATGACCTCCCATGCTAAAAGCAAATTGCTCTATTTACTCTTGAAATTTATTATCTAATATAGTTTTTGAACCTAGTTAAAATTACAAAATTGTAAATCACAGCTTTCTCAATGAAGCACTGATGAGTACGACAAAATTGGCTGACTGTGTTAATCTGCATTTGGGGGTAAATTCTTCAGCACCAAAAGTACTCAGTATAACTTTTTCTTCCGAATCTAAAGTAAAAGCCCTTCCAAAAATCTGAGATCTGAAACTAGAGCTGATTTTTGAAAAGCATTAAGGACTCGAGTTCTTATCACTTTACGCACATCCCATCCTATGGCGAGTTTTTCTCATACGCGATTTATTGATGAACGCATCCATCACTGATGTCGGTGGATACTCACTGTTGATTTAACATTTATTTGCAATGAGATAACTGTACTGATTTTTTTATCTAGAACCTGGTCCTATCTCGCCATTATCTGTTCATCGAGCCTAAACGGGGTCTCAATAGTTTTTTAATCAAATTCGGGTAAATTCCACTTGATAAGCAAAAGTACAGCAGATTTTTAAGAGTTAAATGACATTATTGAGAAAATCTAGTCAATCTTACATGGAATCGAAATCGACAAAGGGGCTCTTCGGCTCATAATATGTTAAAAAGTCGAATTGTTTCATTATCTCCCATGTAATTTTTCATATTCATACGCGTCTTCCTCAAAAATTAAGAAAAATTCACTCACGAGTCCTTCGATTACGACATTTAGCCGTCGCAAAATTAGCAAATAGCCTCCTGCTCGGAATTTTCTGGTCATCCCTCACTCGTTGGGTAGATTTTTGCATTCTTACCAACTTGTACCTCAATGATAAAAACTACCAAACTTAGTGCTCTGTCAATAGCTATAGTTTAAATAATTTATATTTACCTTCAATGAAGAGCCATAACGTGAAAATTGCAAATATCATGTATGATTTTAAAGATGTAGTATCGGGATTGATCAAGATTAAGAAGAAATTACGTCCGATCCGGGGTTTTTAAATCTGTGTTTCTTGATCAATTTATAAAAAAAAAAAATTACGTAGATTAAGCAAATTTTACTTTTAATTTTAGGAAAGCCTTAATGTCAGTCGCTAGATTAATAATTTCTGCGCGCTCTCAAGGAAAAACACTTTTAAAAGCCTCAAAAATGTTTTCGAAAATGCAGTTTTCAGCTTTCGTGCGAAAACCGCTTGTGTCCATTTTTCCATTCTTCGGTTTTTTTTAGTTGATAATACTTTTCGGAGCGATGGATGCAAGCACGAAAGTGTCGTTAATGCTCATCTCTGAGTTGCCTTAATCCCAAAACGATTCCTTTCATCACTTTTATGGTTGGATCAACTCTTCAAAAGAATTATAAACTCAAAAAAACTGAAGACTGGAAAGATGGACATTAGTGGTTTTCGCACGTCCCGATTCAATTAGAGCCAGTTACTTTAACTTTATCTAGAGATTTTGAAAAATATTTTTAAGTACGACATTCTTTAGCAATCGATCCATCGACCATCACTTCAAATTTTCGTGGAAAACCTACCGAAAATTTGAAATTTAAAATGGCAAAAGTGCAAATTTAAGAATAAATCGTGCAAAGAGCTAAAGAGCAGCCGTATATCCTCTTCTTTTTTCAAAGTGATATCGAATTTAACTTTTTCGAGCTCTCATATCATTTGCCATGTACGAACGCATGAGAAGGAATCGCAATGCGTGTGTGGATTTTGGGACACCCCTGGGCGCGACAACGCGGCGTTGTGAGCAGACGCATCACTTTAAGGGAAAATCCCATGATTGACGACCCTTTAATTGGGATGTCTACATTCATTGACAGTGGCAATGATGTAACTAGAATCTGTCCACTCCAATGCAATGTTGCCTATTTGTGCTGCACGTACGTTTTATTGTTGACTCCTCACACATCTGAGCTAGGTCCACCGATTTTATTGGAGCGTCCTTTTTTTCTGATGATCTATTTGGCTTCATGTCTAGTACCGGCAGTCTAGACCGTCTTTTAGATTTTCTATTCGACATGTTTATCCCGCCCCGCAATGTTTAATTTGCATTATCCGGTGTTTGATCAAGGAAAACATAAAACTGGGTTGGAGCATGAAGAATCTGCACTTCCAAGTTCTTAAATTTATCATCATGTCTTATTCCTTTGTCTGTCACTTATATTTTTAAGGGGGAAATTGAGTAATACGTATAATGCTGGGTTTACCTCTCATCTCATAAAATGCATTACGTCCCAATATTTTTTCTAACAACGAAAGCAAAAATAGACATTTTACTCTGTCAGGCGGTTTGTTCTTTACTGCTTCGATGCACCCTCTTAACCTTATTAAGGCTTCGCGTATTTTCCTTTTTACATTTGTTTACACATAAATGTTGAGCGTTCACATTAAAGCGTTCTTGTTCTACGTGATTTTTAAAATTGCAACACAATCGATGTGATTTCTTGAAACCGTCTCTCATTTTTTTTCACAGTTTAACATCTTTTTGTCAAATTTCGAGCTAAAGCTTTGGTTTGATCTCCTCTAGTAGTGTACAACAGGAGCGGTGATTCAGAATCCCCGGAAACCAATGGCGTGGCGTGCTTTGCGATCTTTCCCCATTTGAAGCTGTGGTAAATAATCGATTGTTAAGGTGTTCGCGACGAACACCCTGTTAATCGACATTTTTCCATAGGTTTAAATGGCCGATCAATCGATATATTGCAAATCACGCCACGCGCCACTGCCGGAAACGAGTTATGCGTTCCTGCAACTGTTTGTCGTTATAAAACATCCTCGGGGAGATGACTTAATTTTAGTGTATTTTCCGAAGGAAATACACTATTTTTTTTTCTAGATTAACATGAATTGCATATTCACATTTTTAAGAGAAATATATTTTCATTTGCTCTATTTTTTGGCGTAATTGCACGCTTAATTAAAGTTCAGTGCATATTCTTGTGTGAAATTGCCCTTAAAATTCAATAATTAGCGACGAAGAATCTTTTTTTTTTGGTTTTGAAGGTGATTCAATGGACGCCATATGTTGTGTCAGAACGACATGCGATACATCGCATCGATTAATTTCTCTAATTTTGAGATCGCAATTCTGTTGTCAGTAGACGAAAGCATTCACTTAACAATATTGACAAAAAAATTCAACGTGAAAAAGACGTGGTTCTTTGGAGGGAAAATATCAGATTCGATACTGATATCGAAACTGCACTAGAATTCGATGTTTTTTCTGTAAAAACCACGTCTTTTTCACCTAGAATTTTTTTATGTCAAAATCGGTGAATTGCGATCTCAAAATTGGAGATAAATGACGAGAAGCTGGGGGAATGGAACCAATCGTAGAATATATCGCTTGTTCTGACACAAAATATGGCGTCCATCGAATCACCTAAATGTTGCTAAGATTTTGGAGAATCAAAATTCTGTTAATGAAAATACCTTTTTTGTTAATAGTGAGATCAATGCCGTAATTTATGTGGCTTTTCTTTCTAGTCGCGCGTTTAAGTCTCTCTCTGCGGCTCGGTTGTTGTAGCGATATCGAAGGACCTTGATCGATAAAAAGCATTGCTGAGGTAGGGATTTATCGATCAGGATTATTCGATAACGATTCCACAATCGAACCGCAGGACAGTTAATCCTTCCGTATTATACTGAATGCTGGAGTTATAAGGAGACAAATATCTCAGTTTTAGTCGTTTATTAAGCAAAGAACCTCGCAAACTATTACGCATCTTTTTTACGTATGACTCTGAATGACTTGTAGGTTTCGTTTTGCGTATCAAGAAATAAGGAGGCAACGGACACTCGAAAATAATTTAACTCATACTCGAGAAAAAAACAGTTAGCGGAATTTTCAGTAAATTTTTCTCATATCCCTCTCACGGTAAAGCTGATCGCTGGTGATCGACTAACAATGAGTACTGAAAGGCGCGTTAAATTCAAAGAAACGTGATTCGGACTACGCAAATTGGGCGTTTAGGAATGGATTTTAGACATTTCTGATGTGCATTATTAAACTTCCGCGAAATGTTACTTGTTCAGAGTACTCATATATTTGGAGGTCTCTCATGCGTGCTGCAGACCCATTGGGTTTCGCGATCAGACGAAGCAAAACTCTGACTGGAAACAAAACAGAATCCCTTGTTTCTTCCTATCTTCTTTATCGAGCGATTTATATTGATGTGTGTGATTCTCTTCCAAATCTTTTATGTGTCTCATGTGTAATGTGTATATATTTTGCATGCCTCTTGGTTTTTACTCGTTGCGCCGATAATTTTTGGAGGGAAAATAGACGGTTGCATAAGCCAAGCAATATATTCAGAGGGGGGGGGGGAGTTTTAAGGAAATATTTGACGGGGGAAAAATTCATGTAGTTTTATATAAGATGCATAGCTCTCCACTAAAATTCGAGAGAGAAACCTGCGTTTTTGAACGTTTCCAGGCGCTCTATCTTTTATTTTCATTAATGACTATTTGAAGAAGCTAACACTATCATAATTTTACCATTATTTTATATCCGCAATTTTATTTTCTGTGCTTAATAGTGCACATTATTTCCCTCCAAACATCATCAGCGTTCTGAGAATGGTTGAAATATTGACTTATGCCAGATTGGGAAAACAGCCTTCATTTTACTGAATAAAAATATACGCTCTCTGATCCAGGTACACCGAGATATGTTGTTTCGGAGCTTGGTACTTGTGACTCTTCCTCTAAACTATTTGTTTCCTTCCATATTCTCCGAACCGAAAGAAAAAGCAATACCAGCTTTGGGTAACATATACGTCTTATCTACGTCTGTGTCTACTCAGCGTGCACACTTAGTATGGTTAAAAAAAATCTCGGCCGTAATTATTATGTACATAAAAAAGCACATTTGGCGTTGTCGTTATATTCTGGTGTCCATTCTGTGCCTCGATTAATCGATTTCGAAAATATTTTATCAGAATGAACAGCTTTTAATACATCTTTAAAAATTAAAATAAAAAATGTTTAAAAAAAAGGATTGAATGTCGATGTTTCTGCACGTCTTTTGATAACATTTCAGCATACTTACAATTTTCATTTTACGGACTGCATATGTCTTCAACAAGAGTCATACAGAAAAAGAAAAAAAAAATCCCCCTCCCCAAAAAAATTGAAAAGCCAAGATCTTTCTAAACTCGGATAAGTATTACACTTGGCAAAGAGTTATTTTTCGTGTGTCGGTACATGTTCCTTTTTTATAGTGAATTTTTTAATTTTTTCGGTCTCGCTGTAACATACGCCTGAAAAACTTCGTGCGGACAAAAACGTATGCAGTCCCGCTTGTTTCGATTTAAAAATTGTAACTTGATGCTTCCTAGATAAATATTCTGATTTAATTTTTCTGAGGCTCTTAGGAGCGGTTCAAGTAATACCTAACGCACTTAGGGGAGAAGGGGGGGGGGTTGAGCCAGGCTTACGGTGCGTTACAAAGGGGAGTTGGGTCAAGCTCAGCGTTACTTAATTAATCCTAGCCGTGCGGGAAAAAAACTTTGAAAAAAACGTGCAGTAGTTAACTTATTCAAAATTGTCCACGTTTCCGGTAAAATGAATAAAGCAAATCTATTCGTCATGTATTTTTGCATCTTTTTCGATCACTTCCCGTCATATTTCAGCAAAATGTCTTTTAAAAAAACCGAAATTTTCAAGCAGTTTGCTCAGAATTTTCTTGATTTTTTTTATTTAATTAGGGGGGAGGGCAGGCCATCGTTACGTAATTTTAAAAGGACGGTGCCGGGCTGGCTGCATTACAAAGGGGGGGGGGTTAAAAATCGGAGTGCGTTACGTAATACTTGAACGGCCCCTCATGAGAATTTGAGATTTTTTCTTGATAACGCAGACCATCTTGTACAATGTTCCATAATATGCAGCATTCGTAATTAAATACAGCTTGATTAGTGCAACGAGTCCGTGTAACTAGGAATGACTCTCTAGATTGCAGAAATATTGTCATGTTATTTATTCAAACAAACTGTTCCTGTTACTTCTCTTTCTTCGCCGCTTTTCTGACAATTCCTTCTTATTATGGGCATTTTCTTATTCAGCTCGGAAGAATTTCGGTGGGGCATTCGACGTGACGAAAGGATGCCCTTTTTTTTACATAAATCGTGCGCGGAGTCATCAAAATCCTTGCATCGTTAATTTCCGTTCTTTTTGGATCTCATGATAATGATAGAAGTTGGTCGATGGTCGTCAAGGCTTGGTAAGATCCCTGAATCGGCGGAAGTGTCGGATGCGTCCGTAAAGTGCGTCGGAAGGCAACTGTCGTCGTAGAGCTGTTTCGGTCGAAGAGTTCAACCGATAACATTCTGGCGATGAGTTCTTCGCTTTCGAAGACGTCACCTGGTAGTTACCCAATCTGGCATCGGTCGTGGGATGTACATAGTCTGTAAGTTTTGACCCAAAAAATTTCAAAATCTCGAACCGAATTCTTGGGTTTGATTCTGCTTGATTTTTCAGAGCAATGGAAGTCACGGGGTTGCCACTGAGGTCCGAGCAACAACGGCGCGACGCTACCAACCTTATCGTCAAGCACTTCAAGAATCTCAAGTTCAAGAAAAAACTGGCAAAGCATCAAAGACAATGACACTTACTGTACAAGAAGCGGGCTGACAACCTTCACCTGCGCCCGGCATGCCGACAGAGGGCGCAAGCTGATCGAAATCAACCGGAACCCGTGCTCACGAGACACAGCGAGAGGTCCGCATCACGGTAGCAGAGTGTGGTGAGCCTGAGCGTGCCCCAAGGCGAATTCTGGATCCACCGTGGTTAAGTCCTCAAAGAGCACCGCCGGGCGATAGCAGCAGCGAAGGACTGAGCAACAAAGCACTGACCACTACGGGCACCGTAGCGAACTCCTCTGCATCCGGGCCTAAAATGAAATACGGAAGCAGTTCCGGCGGTGACTCGGAAGTACTGGGCATGCCTGTCGACTCCCTCCTGCTGAGCAACTGCTGGAGCACGGATCACTTCATCGTAGACTCTAACCCGAAGAACTTCCTCGGCGATGACTCGGAGGAGGAACCCGAGTCGAAAGGGATCGACGAGCTGGAGCTCCTGCTCCAACCGGAGTCCAACGAGCAGAACAACAACCTGGCCGAGCTGAAACCCCTGCCACCGTTCGGCCACTACACGGCCAACCTCCAGATCAATGGCATCTCCGGCCAGCACTTCGGCGCCATCGGGCGACCCGAGCCCGGGCCTCGGATCGAGACCAACAACAACACCTCGGAAACAACGAACCAGAACATGTACTACGATAACAACGCGGTCGTCACCAGCTCGACGATGGACTGCATGGACATCAAGCCGGAGATCCCGGACTACGCCTCCATCCTCAACGCCCCGGACATGGAAGACATCGCCGCCATCATCGGCTCGGCCATCGCCGACACCACCGTCAATGGCAACAACAACAACGGGGACAACTCCCGCGACTCGTGGATGGACCTGGACGCCTGGATCGAGGGCGCCTGCGAGAACTCGGCCTCCACCTCGAAGAACGGGCACATGTCCGTCCTCAGCTCCAACGAGTCTCTGTCCGACTTCGTGGCCGCCAACAGTCAGTTCAGCATCTCCTCGACGCCCGTCATCCACTTCCCGGTCAAGCGCGAGAACGCCTCGAGCACGTTCCCGCACATGCCGCTCTTGCAGAGCCGCCTCCAGAACGGGCCGCCCAAGTCGGAGATCTCCTATAGTCTCGTGCCGGAGTGCACCTCGCCCTCCTCGTCGACGCAGTACATCGCGCACAGTCCGCAGCACGTCGTCTCGACGTCGGACCTGGCCCGGCCGTACAATCAAGTTCACAGTTCCACGCGCCCCTCCCCGGAGATGATCCTCCACACGACGACACCCACGCCCAACAAGAAGCCTCGTCAGCGGACGAAGAAGCCCGTGCCGCCCTCGAGCACGATCGTCTACGACCCCTCTAGTCTCGGTGGAAAGGAGAAGCCCGTCCACAGGTGCAATATCTGCAATCGCGGATTCCTCAACAAGTCCAACATCAAGGTCCACCTCCGGACGCATACCGGCGAGAAGCCGTTCAGGTGTGATGTCTGCGGCAAGGCCTTCCGGCAGAAGGCGCATCTCATCAAACATGCGCAGATCCACAAGAGGATAGGCAGAGACTAGTAGGCGCTGTGGTCTTAGTTGTTGTTGTTATTGTTGTGTTTTATTGCTGCGTGCAGGCCCCCGCGGATTGAGCTCCAGAGCCTGTGGAGGATAAACGGCACCTTTTGGGAACTCTGCAGGGACTTCAGGACTTTTACTTCTAATTTTTTCCAACTGCTGAGCGCGTCAACATAATTTATCTTATTTTTCAATTATACATAAGAAAAGATGACACCTAAGGATCACAGTCCTCAAGATTCTTCCCAATGTTTCTCTCTCTTTTTATTCATTGTTCAGATCTTTTTTATATGGCTAAGAAAAAATAATCGTAATTGATTTTTCCTTCAAAAGAGGAATTGAAGACTATTTTTTCAATGAATTTGACGTATGCTCTAGAAAAATTACCTAATTGAAATGTATACAGCCAATTTTATGTTGCAATTATTTGTTTGATTTTTGCGAGGCTTTATCTTGTAAGATGACCACCTTTAAATGTAATCTGCTTTTGATTCTTGATTATGAGCCCGTTAAGGATCTTTTGATCGCAACCTCTTGTTTTTTACAAACTGTATCAAAATGTGTTGTTTTATACACACTATAACCAGAGCAAAATCACTGTAATTTGTTTGCTGCCACCATACGTATCTGAACGCAAATTTTTCATCCGTTCTTCTTCCTCTCAACAAGGGAGTATTATTTTTAAAAAAAAAATTATGTAAATTCCATGTTTACGCCACTTTTTACTACAGTCACGTCAAGGATGTGTTAAAATTATCAGATTGTAAAATTCAGAGATTCACTGGCTTACCTGTAAAAGTGCCTAAAACACTATTGTATTTTAATCTACGTTAAAAAAGAGTCCATGGATCTCTTATTATTGGCTCATTTTTCATCATGGTCGGTCCTGTGCTCCTCTCAACTTATGAACGCCAGGGCGACTGAGAGACTCACAATTTATTGTATAGAAAAATATTTGATTAAGTTATGTTGGCGCTCCTGCACTGTTGTATTGGGAACGTGAAATCCTGTCTCCAACGTAAAAAATAAGGGTCCCTCAATTCAAATTTCATTTCAATTATCTTGAAATGATACGAGAGGTTAAGGAATTACGGGATAGTGGGCGCATGATTTGAGGGAGCTAATGCATTCCGCATCTAATCATCTACCTTTCACGTCAAAGTTATATCTGATCTACAAGAATCATTTTTTCCGTCAGGAAAAGAGTGAACGGTACAACGTGTATCAGCTTTTAAAAATTGAAACTGAAGATATCATTTATTTGCATTTTTGTTAAACAGAATTATGCACTGTCAGCATCAGACATCAATTTTTATCATGGACAAAATGAAACTTTTAAGGTTACTTTGCAATCCGCTCACGAAATTTCATGTAAAAATATGGCATTCTAATTTTTTTTCCCTACTTCTGAATATTGTTGCTTATAATTTTTTCTGGTGCCCATTTAGTAGAATTATGACAAGACTTTCTGAAGATTCTGATTTTGAATACCCAATATATCTCTACTTATGTTTACAAAGGTATTGTATTATTCTTACTTTTACTTTTTGGTTTTTACGATTTGAGCGTGAATTCGTCAAGTCGATCCAGATGTCTCCAAAAACTCTTGCTTCTTAAACTCGCAACGTATTTATCATGCTAAGAATGCTAATCTTGTCAACAAAGAGTGCTTTTTTACAGCTATTATTGTAGTATATAAAACGAGAATGCGTAGGTAGCTCCTCAAAACATGATCTGCATCTCCTCCTTAAACCTCCATTTTTCTCAGTATTCACCAAAGAAACTTTGTTCCTCCTTAATGTCAATCCGCCATTCATGGGCGCAACGGCGCGGTGTTAAGAACTCTACGAGTTCAATTGTATTTAAGTATGTTTGAGTTACTAATGTTTACTTGTGTCTGTATTGTACGTGTACATTTTATTATATTTTTTTCCTTCCAAGTTCTGTTACTTAGTGGAGTTAATATTTGCTTGAACATATTGTTGACTATCCTTTCCTACTACGGTACCTGAACACTCTGCTAAGCTGACTCGCATTGCCAACATTTGAGTTGTTTGGTAATATTTTTACTAGTTTCGTTTGAAAAGTAGCTAATTTGAATTGGAGGTATTTCTGTCAAACGGAACTGTGTGCATTATGACGTGAGCCCTGTTATGCATATATTTGTATGGGTCTCAGGGTTCATGTCTTAATGCACATAGTTCCGTTTGTCATAAATACGTCCAATTCACAGGATAAACATCGGCACTCGGTTTTCATTTTTAACATTCAGTTCGTGTAAGATCATTTTCTGAGCTAAATCACAGGGTGACTATCTCTAAGGTAATCTTTAAATTTCTTTCAAGTCAGCGAGTGAAGGGCATACAACTGAAAAACAATGGGTGCTATGTTAAAATATTGAAGTATTAAGAGATTTGCGGTAAAATCTGTGAAGGCTGACGTATTACATATTCTGCCATCGAATGAATTATTTATCTTCAATTTTTTACCTCAACTTATTAATTGTTGAATTGAGCTTGAATGACATCCTCACTAGCCAATAGTGTCCTTAATTATTTCAGCAAGATTTTTAAAACATTAAGCTTTTGAAATCCTCATCCGTTCATGGATTTGGCTTGAGCTAGAAAATCATTTTGAACATATAGTACATCTATACCAATATCATTGAGCCACGTTTTGGCGAGTCTCGAAAAATGAACTCACTTCATGTAATTACTGTTAAATATAATTTTTATGTAGACATATTCATTAGTTAACATTGTTTAAGTAGATCTCAAAATTTAGGAAGCAAATTTTCTGTATTATAGTGAATTTATTTTGACTCGGAGTTATCAATTGCATAATTTTAAAAACTAATCATCATTAAAGATTTTGTGAAGTCCGTAAATTACGTTTTCATCACAGAAAGGGACAAACTCGCCTTTTTCTATTTATTTTCGCTAATTAAGTAACTATTTTAATGCAGGCTCATTAATTTAATTGAAGAATTATTACACAGAAAGCACGTCCTCTCTATTATCCGATGACGCCTGTAGTTTTTTTGAATGAGAATTCATTTTCCTCTCAAATATATTCCACTTTAGTTGACCGCAATCAAAGGTTCTTGTTTAATCTTACTGCGATTTTTCTCCATCAGAAACGAAAAATTTGCAGTTCTTTCAAGAAAATTATGATATTTGTAAACACTAAAACTCCATTTATTTCTCCTTTTTTTTAAAGTAATTACAGCTTTTAACTGATAAGCCAGCTCATGCACTGCCAAGTGTAGGAATGGTTCGGACATTCTAAACTATGTCTGCCATTCCAAATCCTTTTCATTTGTAGACCCAAAGTTCTTTCTATATAACGTTACAAAATTATGTTATTCACAGTCTCAGGAAAAAATCATAGCTGTTAAATTTACGAATTAGCTACTTGCAAAATGTCTTGTTCGCTGTTAAAAAGATAAAGACCCTGTAGCATCTTACTCCTGATTTAGTTGTACATATATCTTGTAATATTTGAAGTATATATAAGTTCATTTAATTTTTATTTAGTCGCTAATTATACTTCAGTGTATTATAGATAAGGAACAAAATAAGGTGGTAATGTTTGGTACCTCAAAATAATGTAATATATTATAGATTTATTTTAATATAATTTATTTATTTCTAATTTTAGGTGCACATGTTGTTAGGTTTCAGTTTTAGAGTAAGGATCCAGTTCAGCCAATGAGAATGATCGGTAGATTGATCAGAGTCCAAAAAACCTTATTTCATTTGTTCACTATCAATTCACAAGATCTACTTTCAGACCAAAAAAAATTGTATAATGTGATAAATTTTATTTACTTAAGAGCATATTCAGATATTCATAATTTTTTATTTGAAATAAAAAATGATACATTTTTATATTGAAACTCAAGAAATCTATCCCTGAATTTTTTTATTACCTCACCTTCAGTTGTTTTCCCTCATCTCAAAATTAAGGCACGCTATTTTCTCAAATAAGTTTCATTTCAAAACAAGAAGGCAATGCATGCTATAGCAGTTTAATTGGATTCAGTAATCTCCAACTTCATTTAGACGACTTTAAGAGAAAAGAATCTACGTGCTTATGAAAGATACGTAGAAGGTAAAATTCTGCAACCACGTATCTCGTTTGCGGTGTTTCAAAATCTCCGCTCCTATATTTGTTTTTTTTAAAGGGAGCAAATCGGTATAATTCCTTGACATTTTCGCAAACTTTTCTTCGCATCGAAAGGAAAAATCATGGCTGTTTCTAAGAATTGTCTTGGAGTAAGCAGTTTTCCATTTAAACAGAAATTTATACCAGGAAGTTTGCAACGTCGCAAACCGAGATACGAGGGTGCGGAATTAAGATATAATTTGAAAGATGACTAGTTATTGACATTTAGAGAACTTAGATTCTGAAAAGTTGCGAAAACTCTCGTAAACAGACATCTTCATGACTTACGTGCAAGTAACTTGTAAAAGTACCTAATTACAAAGCAGGGACCTTATTGCTCATTTCAATTTTCTCGACCTGGGGAGGAGTTTATTAGATTATGCTGTCATTACTCCCATTAGAATATTTTTCTTTTCGACTTCATCATCATCATCATCATCAATGAGCAATGACACCAAAAATAAAAATCTTAGTATTCCTTTGATACAACTGTTGCCTCGCCACTTCAACCATACCTGGCAAAAATCATGATCACAAAGAATAAATCGTCTTAATCGCTCTGCAGTATAATTCAATGATAATTCCTATAGATGATATGAACTTTAAGTTCACTTGATGCGTTGGAACTCCCTAGTAACTTAGTTTATTTATTAAATTGACCGTCCAGATTGGTCCCCAACAGTATGCGTTTTCAAATTCCAACCACACTCCAAATGCAATGTAGTCCGAGATTTTTTTTTTTTTTTTGAAGTGGTTTGGTCTGGACAGCACCAAATGTAGAATCTCCTCACCTAAAGTGAGATTTATCTCAGGCCAAGGACACTTATAATGAAGTATCAGGTGCTTAAAGTATTAGCTCGCTGATTCTTAAGGGCAAACAAAATATTTATAGGGTGTCCTATACAGAGGACGGAATCTCGCCGGCTTCTATGTGGATTACGTTTTGCGTTAAAGAGCCACTATTTTTGGCTAATCCATAGAAGCAATAATCTACACATGATCAATAATGGCCCATAAGCTGTTCATGGAATTAGTCGAAAATAGTATTTCGCTAATGCAAAATGTTATCCATTCCAGTAAGGGGCGATTTTTCAGCCACCAACAGTGTTTTGCTCAGTGTCATCTCGATCACACTGAAGTAATACCATCAGGATATTAAAGTAACTGTGAAAAAATTGAAAATAGAAAAGAGTGACATTTTCAGAACAAAGTTACGTCTTTCTTTTTAACCGTAAGGAATTTTTCCGGAAAAAACTGAGATCGAATAAAGGTAGCTCTGTGCGTAAAAAATCCTTATTTGTTACTCTAAGGTATTTAATTGAAACGAAATCGGGCCAGAGTCGATTGTCTCTTCTGTAAGTGACTATTCACCCCCATTAATTGCTGGACGCATTGGCGAATATAGCAATTTGGCAACACCTGATTTCCTCCGTTTAAATCTATGCTAAATTATCGATTCTTGGCGGAGCTCCTGGCCCCTCCAATAATCGATACATTTCCATAGGTTTAAATTGAGGAAGCCCGGTGTTGCCAAATTGCTAGATCCGCAAATGGCTAGACGCTTCGGCCGGGACTGCCGTAATTATTTTGAATAATTAAGTCGTCAATGTCCTCAGAATTTCATACAAATAGGTGTCCTGGGCAGAGCACAGAGGGTCAAAATTCAATTTGAAATGAACAGAATTGTCTGGTGGGAAATTTAGTGTACTTATTTCAGAAACGAAGCCAGAATCAATCCCTAGAAGTCAGAAAAAACAACCTACGTGAGTATTTATGATGAACAATTGTATTTTTATATTAAAAAAATGTATCCTACAAAGAGATGCCAGAATTTTATGGTCAAATTCACCGTTCTCTTGTTTTTTGACAATAGTATGTGCGTTTTAGGAAAAAACTCTTGAGCAAAATATTCAGCAACTTTTTAGAGGGATTACAATATTCCAAAAAATATGTATGTATCATAGGCAAATAATCAAAGCAGGCATTTTGTCAAATGCCTATGGGTACAGTGTCAAACATTCTCGCAGATTGAAATTCTGACTCTTCTGCTAAGTTTGTACAAAATTATAATCATCCTCGTAGATATAGAAAGTACTTCCAAAAATTTGCATCCTTCTATGGTTACTGTCTTATTCCCTTTTTTTTTTTTTTTTTTTTTTGTCACTGCCAATATTTTTTAAAATTTTGGTAGTGAAAAATATATGAAGAGCATTTTGAAAACAAAAATACAGAGGCTGGTAGGTTCATGATTTTCTCCTTTCACAATATTGAAAATTCGATAGCTCTCCGTGAAGACATACGAATTTTCGTAAATTTTCAAAATTTGTTGTATAGGAATTTGATAAAATGCCTGGTTTTGCTATTTGCCTGCGATACATACATATGCATAGATCTGCTCATCTTCTAATTGGCCTGGGATGAAATTTAAGACTCGAATCTCTGGTAAATCAAACGTTTAAAAATAATTTTCAATGGCTTCAATCACCGCCAGAGTGAGCTATAATGTTTGATAAGATACCGATGCGCGTACAAGTCGAGAATTTCCACATGAGCCACCCCTAGAGTCAGCATCAATTTTACATATTCATGCTGAATGGAACTAAAAGCAAATGAAATGAAGCAACAGGAATCATCAGATACGTAAATCCTATGCTCATAGTTTCTCTCGACTTAACTAACATATACATAGTTCCTTTGAGTAAAAATACGTTCAATTGATATATGCAAAGACCATTTCGATATAGCTCTCTGAATATCCTATCAGGCTTTTCTTTAAATGTAAAAGAACCAACTTCTATGAATCGAAATATAAATTATTTTTCTTCTCAATATGGTAAAAAAGATCGATGGAAAGTAGAAGCTATAAAATTGGCTATAAATGACGAGTGCAGTGAAGACATTCCAAAGCAAGAGCAAACATTTTAAAGCTGATCATGACAGGGTACTTACAACAAGCATAAAACAACATACACATTTGGTGCGGAGCTCAAATATGATAAAAAGTTTTTCACCTGACTCAAAAGGATGGCAATTAATTTCAAGCACTTCTTAAACATTCATTGATTCAATAGCGATTGAACTTTAAGCCTTTCCTTCTTCTTGGCATTTGCAGACACCTTTGTTGACTAACAAGAAACCAAATATGTTCTCAGGCCAGTTAGAGTCATATTACTACTAACTTTAAAAAAGAAAATAGTTTATTTTATATTCAAAGCATCACGCAACTCATCACTGCTTATTTTTTCTTGAAAATAGTTTAATCCTACAAATTACTTTTAAGAGTTTTAATGTTATCTTTCTTTTGTACATAGAATGCTTTTTTCGGTGTAGTTTGTAAGTGAGATGGTTTTTGTATCGACTCTTCTTGTTCAGCTGTTCCAAGTCAATTATTTATTTCTAGTGGTTAAGTATTTATCTCATTCCCTTGATTCCCTGTCCTCAAATAGAAATAAATAAAGAATAATTCTTAGTAGGAATCATATTTCCCTCTGAATTTAAATTTAATTCCATTGAAATAGAATGCATCTTTTATGAGTGCGGAACTTACATTGCGTGTAAGATATCCGCCATGAGTCATTATCCTTAGGATTGCAAAATTCTTGCACCTTCAGAGTCATCCCATGATCGTGCAAAGCAGTGATATACTGTCGTCTTTATATGTCCATTAGTAATGATCGTATCAGGAATAGTTTAACAAGAACCCTTTCTTTTGCAAACATTTTCAAATATTAAGTATTTCTCCCAAGCGCTTTTTACCTTGTCTTTTTTCCAAAAAGACAGCAAACCAGTTTAAATAAATGTTCTAATTATCCTCTTTAATACAATGGATCATCACAAAACGTGATGTCTAGTTCAGTGCGTTCATAGAGGGCTACTAAACTCAAGTGAAAAATAACTGAAAATTTAAATTACCATCTCTCAGCATCGTTTAGATAATTTTCAGAGGACGCGTCATCCTAATATGCATTTCTATTAAAGTAGTATTGATGACGAAAAATGCGTGAAAATATCATAAATTTTAAGCAAAATAAAAGTCGAATGAATCTCTCTTCAACCAAAATCGACAATTCCTCGATCATCTACTGATATTCTTAAGCAGCTTGATTATTCTTTTGGAAAGGGAGAAAATAAAATAAGAAATATTTGAATACGCCCCTCCTTATCATTGTTCTTAAAAATTAGAAAGAAAAATTATTTTGTAATAATTTGGACAAATAACCAAAGTTAGAATAAATTTTCTGTAGGCAACTGTAATTGTTATGTAAATTTATATGATAATAATTGTAAAATTACTTAAGTGTAGGGAAAATAATTTAGATCGTAAGCCTTTGGCAATGTTCTTTTTAATTTATTTATTTTTTATGTTTCTGTTTTTAAAATAAATTTATATGCTGTCAAACTGCGTTTAATTTTAATGACGAACCTGATGACCCTAAAGCAACGATTAATCTTACAGTGCATCCAAGTGGAATGAACAAAACAACAAGATTATTCTTCAACTATCCTTAAAGTATGATCGTCATGTTAATTATTTACTTAAGGCATCCTCCAATTGTTACATATCCTAGGAAATATCAATGATAGATAAGATAGATACGATATTTTATTCAAAAAGATCTATATTAACGGGATCATATTTTAGCCGCGCCGTATGTATATATTTAGAAACATGAAAAATAATTACTTGTTTAGGCCATCAAAAGCAAAGAAACAAGGAGTAATATACGGGGGAAAAATCATTATTCGTATATACCACAAAGACAGCTCATAGGCACGAATATACTTGCATATAGACGTAGGTTTTGAGTACCTTTTGTGCTTCAGCTTTGATACCACAATGAGCTAGGCGTGATTTTTGGAGCAACTATTCATGCCCAAGGGATGTCTTTAAATTACACATGAAGACTTGAAGACACTTTGTTATTTTAAATCCTCAAAGTAAAGCCCACCGCACAATAACACGAGCTTTTTACAGAGGCCGGACAAGAGATATTTGACTAAAACTGCATATTTCGATGGTAATTTCTTCACATCATAAATTGTACGGGTTGCTTCTCGAACGAAATTTCACGAGAAAATCAATGAAACCACTTCTAAAACCTCTATATGTACATATCGTATTAATATCGACTTTTAAGCTTTTAAAGTTT